TTTCGTAAAGCATTGCCACAATTGTTCCTTGACACAAAAATAAGTGAAATGAATAAAATACAATTTTTAAAAACTTACTCTCTTTTACTATTTTATTTTTAATTAGTCAATAATAAATGCATCTGTTGATGGGGTATGAAGTGATCTTTTATGTATGTATACAGGGCAGAATGACTGAATCAAGCTGATGAACTTATCCACCACTGAAAGCCTGGAGCAGTTAAACTGATCAAGAGAAATCAGAAGACATGTCTTTCTAGACTTCAGGCTGGATTTGAGGAATCTAAAAAAGTAGGCAGAAATTCAACCACGCAAGCACATAAAAATATTCTGATCTAAGACAGCCTGGTAATGCTGTCTTCACAGGTACAAACTCTGTGTTTTGGGGGTATTTATTGAAATGTCAGTCCATTATAATTTCATTTATGTTTTTAGCCTTAATCCTAAGTGCATGTGCTGTTCTCAAGCATTGGATTATCTCACTTTCACGTCATCAAAGATGTTCTTTTCTTAATGATGCTTTCTATGCCCTGAGATTGCCCTGTTGACTGCATATAAGGAGTGTGTTTCTTTTTACCAACCTTCTATATTATTAAGAAAAAAAGAGCTTAAATTTTGGCCCTCTATAGAATTGAACCCCAAACTCTGATTTTCCCAATATGTAAATGTATATAAAGTAAATTTATGCCCATTTAGACTGTTCCTATAAGGCATGTTGAAAGAGTATAGTGCTAAAAGAAATGACTACTTTATACAAAGGGATAATATTTTAATGCCAAAAATATTACTTTACTCATGCTCATGATGCTTACCTAAGCAGGGGAATACATGAAAAGTAAAATGACTAGTATTTCTTTCTTTTTTGGGGGAGAAAGGGGTGGCCAGGGCTAGGTTTGAACCCGCCACCTCTGGCATATGGGACTGGCATCCTACTCTTTTGAGCCATAGGCACCACCTAATATTTCTAATATAAAAAAATCCTTAGCTCATTTGTGAGAGAGATAGTGGGAGAGCCATCTTTGAAGATGGCATCAAATGAGTCTCACTCTTAATATTCAATGCCCCCACGTCACCCCTTCCTACATGGAACGAGGCTGCCTTGTATAACCAATAAGATATTGCAGAGATAACAGAGTATGACCCCTGAGACAGGGTCACAAAACACCTGGCAGCTTCCACTTTGCTCCTTCCTGGGTCTCTAATTCCCAAGAAGGCCCCAGGCCGTGTTATGAAGATAGTCAAGCAGCCCCGTGGTGACGTCCACAGGGAAACTGAGCCGTCTCCCAGTAAGCAGCACTGGCTTGCTGGGAGTGGGAGTGAGGTCTATTAGAAGCAGATTCTCCACCCAAGTCCAGCCTTCAGGTGACCAGCACGGGGTGACGATCTGACCACAATCTCCTGAGAGACCCTGAGCCATAACCACGAGGCCAAACCACTCCCAATTCCCGACTCACAGACACAGTTTGAGACAACAACGCGTATGGGTTTAAGCTTCTGACTTTTGTGTGAATTTGTTACTCAGCAGAGGATAACTAATATTGGCAGCAGATAAATGGCAAAGACCATGTGCTGAGAGGTCGACAAACCCAAAATGTGTTTTGATGGTAACTAGAAGCTGAGTGCTCTTGAACGGGTTAAGTTTCTTGTCCCTTAGTTTTGTCATCAGTAAATTGAGGATAAGAAATCTTACCACACAGAGGTTTGATGAATAAATGAGGCAAAAGAATTTAAAGGACCTGGAAATGTTTTTTCCTCAGTAAGTATCTGTTTCTTTCGTTTCTCTAAATTGTGCTTAATTTTATAGGGGTTCTTCTTCACAGCATTTCAAGGTGATGACTCTGAGCACACAGGAATTGACTTTTCAAGATGCTGAAGAATTGCACGCAGAGACAGGGTTAGAGGTAGGTATTCAGTTGCTGCCTCTGTTTTTTGTTTGTGTTTACTTGTTTATCCAAATGAAGAGCTGTCTTTGAAGATCATGATTTAAGAGAGATGGATATTTTTAAACATTCCTTACATAGAAATAAAGTGATTGTCCATCTTATTTTTGAATTTTGTGTAAGCCCAAAGTATAAAAGATCTCTAGGAAATAAAACTTTTCCAGATCTTGCAAATCTCCCCACTGTGACACGCTCACTGACAGCTTCCTGCTCCCAGTCACCACCCTCAGGGGCCAAGAGGACAACTCAGAAACGTGCTGTATCTGTTTCTGCCGGGTTTCCACCTGACTCCATTTCTCTGTGTCCTTTACTAAAGAAATTGGGAAATGTTAAGTAAATGTTTGTATGCACAGTCTCTTACTTTGCAAATCTATAAACCACCTGAAATGTCTTTGTCCTTGGAATTTAACATTGACATTTCAAATTATTTCTGATAGATGCTGAAGGGCATGGCCTAGGTGCTATGGTGTAGGCATTAAATTCATGGACTCTGCATGAAGATTTATAAGACTTTCTGGGTTTAAAGCTCAGTGCAGCTACTAACTGTATGAACTTGTGCGAATTACTTAGAAACATTCTGTTCCTTGGTTTCCTCAAGCAAAGATAAGAATAAAGATAGAATTTATCACATAGCTTGATAAAAGAAAGTAAGAATAAAAATAGTAATATCATACAAGTTTGTTAGGAAAAACATATTCACTAGCAAACTTAGAACAGTGCCTGTCAAATAACAGGTGCTTGTTAAGTAGATGGCTTTTCACTTTGATACCAGAATGGCCTTGACCTTGATGGTAGATCCATTTAGTGAGTGGAGTAACAGCTGTCTGGCAAACAGAACCCTTCTCTTTCCTATTCTCTGCAGATACTCAACAGTGCTCTACTCTGGTTTTGAGAGAAAATTATTCCACTGATATTTGAGGATTTGGATATTTCCTCAAATATAAACAACCTTAAAAGATAAATTTATGATTCACTGAACTGAAAATAAGTTTGCCTTCCA